AAGAAAGGAAGAGAAAAGAAGAAAAACATGGAAACAAAGCTCTTGTAAATAAAGAGGGGAAGAGAGATTGAAGTGAGGGTAGGGGAGTGGGGAAAAATCTATTTATATTATATTTCCTATGATGAATATGATCATTTTGTATATCTAAAATGTACCAATAAAAATCATTTTGTTCAAAAAAAATAACATTTTTAAAAAAGCTACCAACAATATCACAATTGAAAAATTAAAGTAACTGAGCAGGTGTTATGGTTTGTGTCTGTGTGTCCCCCCAAAGCCTCATGAGATCATGGGGCAGGCTTTTAGAGTTTGATTGATTATGGGTGTGAGAGTTACACCCGCCCTGGGGTGGATAGCTTGCATATGTAAGGGAGAGGAAGAGGATGCTTCTGGCCATTTCCTCCCTTGTGTGTGTTTGTTGCTTTGCTGTGTTCTGCCGCGATGAGCTGTAGCCCTCTGCCATGTGCCACTCTGCTTTATAACCTGCCAAGTATGGACTGAAACCTCCACAAACTGTAAGCAAAATAAAACTTTCCTTCCTTAATTTTGGGCATCAGGTATTTTGTCCCAGCAACGAGAGAAAACTAACCGAGACAGCAGGTCATATCAATGGAAGAGGTAAGAAGTGTTAAAAGTCTGATAAGTAAAATGGGTAGAGAAAAACAGGAAGAACTTAGGCTAAAAAGTTTAGCCTCATTGACAGAAAGGAAAGACTTGGCACTAAGGGTGAAAGAGAAAACAGTGAGTAGAACAATTAGGGGAAAATATTTAGAGTTTAGTTTCAGACACACTAGGGTTAAGATAGGCATATCTGATATGAAGAAGGCAACTGGATGCAAGTCTGGAAGAGGCAGAGGTCCAGCTTGAGATGACTGAGTGCTAACCAGTACAGACTGCGATAGAAGAAGTCGAAGAACTGAGCTTGTGTGCTTCTACTTATAAGAGATTCAGAAGGTGATGGGAAATCAGCAAAGAGGGACCAGTAAGACAAGAGAAAAAAGGATTCTTGTAGGCCAAAAGAAAAGGTTTCAAAGGAACCTTTGTATGAACAACTTCATCTAAAACAGCTAATAAGTAAGATGAGGACTGAGAACTGACCGCAGAACAGAGCAACATGAAGTAACAAAATCTTGATAAAAGCACCACCGTGGCACAGTGGAGGAGAAAGCTTACTTGGAATAACTTGAAAGGAGAAATATGTAACTCTAGGAATTTTAGAATGCAGGCAAGTTAACAGCTGGAGAGAAGAGGAACTTCAAACTCTAGCTGAGAGTATTCCTCCCTTTGTTGAGCTTGGAAAATAATGATAGGACAGTCTGGTAATGAAAGTGAGCAGGCCACAGAGATGGGGTCTGGCGCTCCTGGGAGGGCTGGCCTTTGGGAGCAGTGTGATTTATCAGATAACAGGAAAAGCAGACTACAAGAGTACAGATTCTAGGAGAATGTGGATAGCATGAGCCTGAGGAAGTTCTCTTTTGATGTCTTCAATTTTTTTCAGTAAAGTAAGAAGCACAAGTACCAGCTGAGAGAGGCTGAAGGAGGATATGCTGGAGTTCATGGAGAAAGGATAAAAAGTAGGAGACTGGGAGTGAGGAGATGGGCTAATGATAGGATTGCTGAGAAGTATCAGGCTTGACTGAAGTCAAAACCATGAGTTTAAAACTATGGCAAGAAACTTCTTTCTTCAAAAGAGCTACTGTTCATTCTCCTACATCAACAAAGTTAACCAGTGAACTGCTGCAAAGAGAACATACCATCTAAATGTCTACGAAGGCTTTCAGAAACAGAAGCACATTCAATGTCATATGACAAATATTTTACAAAATCAGTTTATCAAAATATGTATGCTACGTGACTCTTATTTTCCAAAGCATAACTGGAAGATAAACTAGAGAGAAAGTAATACAGTGATCATGTCCAAAAATCTTACCAATTCAAAAGAATCTACCATGGGCCCCCTGAATGTACTATGAAGTAGGTAGGTACCCTTCATTTCATTTTTCACACTTACATCACAGGGATTCAAAATCATAAATGATAGTAGCTTGTACTGTCAAGAAGTGTAAAGGTACATTCGGTCTCCTTACTAGTTAAAAAGGCAAAATTCTCACACTTTCCAAGCTGTGAAACTAAGACTACCTACTTTCCTATCTATACATATGAGATGTCTTCTCTTTTCACAGCCAGCTAAAGTACTATACTACCCTCAAATTTAACAAAACAGCAAAAACCATAACCCAAGCTTCTAATTATCGTTATAATTGACATTAATCTTCCTTGAAATTCTTAGTATTGCACTGAGTATAATTATTTTATATTCATTTAACTTTATGATAAAAGTGAACTATATAGCTCTCTTCACGCAACAGCCATAAATCAAAATCTCACAAAAAGGGTATTTCCAGTGTAAATGTAAATTTCCATTGTTTAAAATTAGTCTTATATTAAAACGTATTTTACTATTCCTATCATCATCTTTCATGCAATCTGAATTTAAAAAATTAAGCCTACTGTTCCATGAATTAAGAGTCTAAAAGGCAATAAAAATATATAGGATATGAATCTAGTCAAAAATATCTTTTCAGTATCCTCTAGACTTCAATGAAAGGAAACAAAAAAGAAAAAAGCAAAGCAAAGTTGATTAAAAAAAAAGGTTCCCCTAAGTTCATGAGAATGACAGTAACGTAAAAAAATGAATAGATATATAAATTTTATATTGTGAAACTTAAAAAAAGTAATTCATACTGCATTAAGAATGAGACCACATAGTAAACATTACGGGGTTAGAGTATCATCTTGCAACAAGGAAAATAAAGGATATGCAAGAATGTGTATCACGTACTATAACAAGGAATTGGTATTTCACACTTAAAAAGCTGACTTTCTTAGTTTTCTGTTTATGGCCAGACTTACATTAGCATAACAAAAGTGAAGGGAGTCACTGGACTAACCATATGTTGCCAGATCAGCCCCATTATTCAGGCCAGTGGCGTGGAACAAAACAAAAGAAGGTTGTCAACCCTGAGCAGAATCTGTCCTTTCCTAGTCTTTTAAAATAATGCTACAGAGAGTGGTAACATTTTTCAAAGACTTAATAAGCAATAACATCTATGAGCTCTTGTCAGGTAATCTTTCTTTCACTGTCTCACACCATCAGTCCGAAGGCAGAGAGGAAAAAAAAAAAATTCTCCTCCCTTCCCCCACTTGCCACAAGGCAGCTAGATCCTGGAATGACACTTGCCTATTTCCAACAGGGAAACAGGTCCACCCACACAGGAGCAGCAGCAGGAGGTATAAACGAAAGGAACAGCGTGAAAAGAAATGCAGAATCATTTCTATAATTTTGAAATTTATACTGTGTGGCAGCCTAGTGCCTCATAAGAAAATATTACTTTCATTTTTGCCTCCTAGTGCTTCCCCGACCTTTCCTGGTTGGTGAGTCAGTAGGAGGCAAAAATGAAAGTATTTGTATTTTTTTCTTTGAAACACAGGGCTATTCAAAACTGAATTTCAAAATCATAACATGAACTACCTAATGTTTTGAAGTGTTCTTTTATTATCTGCACCAGAAATAATATAATGTAAAACAACACTGTATATATGTGGGAAATTAGCGCTGATAATTATATTTAGTAGACAGAGGCTATTATAATCTTGAGAAGGATTTATGATGATTCCACAAAATACAGACGCAGATTTTAAAAACAAATACTCTTGAGATTTAAATATTGGCGTTACTTAAGGTAGAACCTCTATTCTTAAACTCGAAGAATTCAGATTAAGTAAACAAAGAAGAGCAATGTAAAAGTGCACTTAAGGATTGATTTAAACACTTTAATTTTAAGGAGCTCCTGGTTAGCTTCAGCTATATATCTTTATCCAGCCTCTATGTGTGAGACACTGAAGTAACACAGGGCATCCAGAGCCAGACACAGTCTTTTTTCTCATGGAAATTTTAGCCTAATAGAAGAGATAAAGAAAATATCCATATAAAAATGACACAAAGGCACCAGAAGTATCCAAAAGAGAGATGCACAGAATAACCAGAGAGTTACTCTTCCAAGGGAAACCAGCACGTTTGGAATATCATATAAAGCCTCGTGGCACGGACAGCATTTCAGATGGTTCTCGAAGGATGGCCAAGAAGAAGAAAAGGATTCCACAGATGAAAAAGTATGAAACACGATACCCTGCATCTCTCTCTTTGAGCTTTACAAAACTCATCGGTATTAGGAAGGTTCTGGAGAGATACTTCCATAAATAACTGTTACCCCAAGTCACCAAACCTATTTTACTACAGATCACTTTTGAAAGATCAGTTCCCCAAACAGTTTCAGAAATGCTGTGCAAGCAAATCTGGAACAAAGCCAGCGGAGTATATTTGAAACTTTTTGTTACTTTAAACATTTCATCATATATTGAGCTTTACAATAAGCATTAACAAACTCAGATTACTAAGTGAATTTTAATTCCTAAGTGAATTTTAATACTGTGTATACATCTGTTACTGAAACACTGTTTTTACTTCACAAGGAACCATGTAATAGGAGAAATAACACTACCAGTTAGAAAGAAAAGCAGAAATATTAAAGCAATAATGTGGGCAAGCTAAGACCAGTGCACCAAAGCATATGTGAGTATAAAATATACAAGCTCTCCCAAAAACCTTGAGTATAAAATATACAAGCTCTCCCAAAAACCTTGACACACCCTGCTTTTTTTCTTTCCTTCTCTATACCTACTACTGTACTGTAATAACCTTGAAATCCCACATGTCATGCAAATAAAGTTAAAAGCTAAAGCTACGCCCTTGTTTTCATATACAGTACTAAGAATTATAAAATATTTTAAAACAAACACTTCTGACAAAACCTTAAAAATAATTTTAAATTAGCATTTTAGGCTACTGCATTTCCTAAATGAACTATTACTGTACTACTCCTTATACATATTTGATACAGATAGATAACACTAGGGACTCTTTGAGCAGAATGAATTACCTGTGGCTGGAACTGAGGAACAAGTGGCCCCTGCATTCCTTGTGATTGTTCATCCATTGTTTGAAGCAACAGAAACTTTAAAACTCTGCAAAAATAGAGTGAAATTTAATGTAATAATTACTAATTCATGTCACTTATCATACACCTGGCACAAAATTTCAAATATGATTTACATGTCAAAAATTATTAACTAATATAACCCCTACTCTTATCTATACCATTTACTAAATCCTAGCTCTGTTTAGCTTGCAAATATTCTGTCTCAACCATTTGCTCTTCTCCAAAGCAGCATTATATGCTCACAAAACCCTACTTCTTAAAATGAAATTCCCTCTTCTCCATCCTGCCTTACAGATCAATATGTCCCTATACGCTGCACACTTGACAAGATAAAACCACGTTAAGCTCCCTATAATCATGTTCAATACTTGACATCTTAAAATGCATCTTATCTTCTTATTCTAAAAATGCTGGCACTTAATACTATTATCTGATTGTAATGCTTACTATAAGTTTTACGTTTAAAGTTAAATGGCTAGTCCTTACGTGAGAGTGCTGCTGAGTCTTTTATGTGTACACTGTAATTATGAAACATTTATCCATTAATTCAGTAAACATATGCTGAAGATCCATTACACAGCAGGAACATCACAAAAAAGTAGAATCTAGAAGCTACTTTTTGCATGGATTCTGCTGAACACCAAGTCTCTCCAGATTCTATATAAATGTTATTTTATAACTGAAATCTTACGAGTTAAAACTTAGGATCCTTTTAAATAAAATTAACTGATTAACCAAAGCATATCTTCATTATACTCTTTAAAAAGCAATAAAAATATTCTGGATATGGGTCACTTTTACTGGAGTGGAAGCATCTTTTCCCTCCACTACGTAACGTTTTCTCAATTAATTAATGAAAAAACTTAATGTGGTCTAAGTAATTGTCATAATAAATACTTTGTGCACTCTTTATGAATTATTTCCCTGTTTTTATATTATTTCTAATATACGCTCTACTGCTTTATCTTTCACATTTAGATTTACAATCCAACTGAAATAAATTTTTTGTATGATATAAGGCAAAGTCAATAATTGGTTTTCACTTATGGATACCCAAATGACCTCCAATCATTCTGTGTATGTGTGTGTGCGGGCCAGGGCCTTCTCACTGAACTACATCCACAGCCCTTTAAAAAACAAAACAAAACACCGAGACAGGGTCTCCCTTCGTTACTACATTGTCCAGGCTGTGCTCAAACTTGCAATTCTCTTGCCTCAATCTCCCAGAGTGCTGGGATTACTCAGGTATGCACCAACAAACCCTGGTGGGCCTTTCTTTAATAAGGGAATGTTTCCCCGTTTCCAGGATTTATTAATTCATGTCTTTGTGGACTCATGGGTTCACTGTACTATAATCTGATGCTCAGAAATTGTCCAAAATGGGAACTTATTCAAGTTGGCTTCTGTATCCTTTTGAGGACACAGTTCTCTTCTGTCTTCTGACACAATGAGACATTTCAGGTTCAGGTTGTACTCTCCTAGCACTAACCCTAGAGCCACCCATTTCTCCAAAGGACCTTAATCACTTTCAGCACACAATGGTTTTACAAATCAGATACAGTGAGTGCTAGGCTAGTATTCTTGACTATAAATGTTGAGACTAGTACGTTCATCCTCCTTAAAGATCTGACACTTAGCAGCTCTTAAAAACTTACCCATTAAATTAAGAAATACAAGAATGAACTATTGGCTCGAAGCACTTCATCTTTGCATTGTCTGATACAGATATCACTTGCTTGATTATGGGAATACTGAATGACTCAGTTAAACGGAGACCCAAGGGTGAAGTCAGGAATACTCCTGATGAATAATGACTTGGGGCCAAGGAAAATATTTAGTTCTGTATTTCAGTGTTCAGACTCTGCCAACTATCCACCCTAAAATTTCCATTATGTTTTCATTTTTTACGTATCACGTATATATACATATAACTAACTCAACAAACTTTCTTTGTTTTTTGGTGCTAGGAATCGAACTCAGGAACTTGCACCTGGCAGGCAGGCACTTGTGCCACTGAACTGGATCCCCAGTCCCAACAAACTTTCTTTTGGATGAGAGTAGCTTGCTATTTTAGTACTGCTGTTCCTCTTTCTATTCTGTTCCTCATAAACTATGGTGGCCTTGATCAACAAAGTACATCTTATTAATATTCTCATAGACTAATTTCATATATATATGTGTGTGCATGCGTGTGTGTGTGTGTAATACTGAAGATTTTATGAACAGTCTCAAAGACTGAAGGGAAAAGTCATTTCAAGAAAAGGAAACAAATTTTTACTATTGTACTTCAACTCTGTGGAACTCTGAAAAATCTAAAAAATAACTTTTCAAACTACTTGAAATTCTCTTTGGATTTGTATGCACAATTTCATATTTCAGGTTTCATACTGCATCAAGAAACTGAGTATCAAAATACATACTGCCAAACAGGAAAGGGAGTCTTTAATGAACGGAATTTATGCGTGTCCTTTACTTGTCAAATTAGGTTTAAGCTTTAAATTTTTAGGAGATAAATGTGGACAATTATGAGATTAACTAAAGTTTCTATCTTCTTCATTAAATAATCTTTCTTGCACAATGACTGAAATATTTTTCTGTAGCTAAATAAAGATTTTTTTTAAGCTAAAGGCAAGTTACAATGAAGTTTTTAATAAAAATCACTATCACAAAGTATATTAAATTATTTTTCTTATAGATATATTTTTAAAGCACCATCTTTTCTCTTTTTAATTCTATTGCCTTAAACCTGTATTTTGTAATTGGTCAATATTTTTTTTTGTAATTGGTCAATATATTTTTAAAGCATCATCTTTTCTCTTTTTAATTCTATTGCCTTAAACCTGTGTTTTGTAATTGGTCAAAAATTGGTTTAACGGTTTAAAATGCATATTGGTTTATTTTATATCACTTTCTGCAGAAAACGAGAAAAAAAATTTTTTTTGGTTTTTTGAGATATGGTCTGGCTATATAGTTCAGGCTGGCCCTTCTGCCTCAGCCTCCCAAGTGCTGGGATTATAGGCATGTGCCACCACAATCTACTCTAAACCATTCAATTTTTAAAAATGAAATTTACTGACCATATGCCTACAGACATAGGGAAAATTTTCTTATTCTGACTAAGATTTTTGGCTAAAGTGAATACAGTAACTGTAGTTGTTTCATTCAAATAATGGGAAGAAAAATACGTAGCATGATTTAGTTTGCTAATAATTATCTCAGATATTTATTTTAGAAATTTAATAATTAAATATGGAAACTAGGAAAGGTATTATTTTATATAGGGATTGTTACTGTACTATTATTCCAGCATAGGATAGTTATCTAATACACTGTTGGTTACTGTATCACTATTTTATAATACTTAATATATTTTGTTTAATGGCCTTATCAGGGTCATAAAAATCAGCACATATAAAAATCAGCTCACAGGCAGACTTGAGTTTTTAAAACTAAATGGTCTGTGCCTAGTCACAATTAAGAGTCATAATTTTGTACTTTTATATTCTGTTAAATAGCCACAGGAATAAGGGAGAACTGTTTTACTTTAATATGTACTAGTTTATGGACATACGTGAAAATATTTGTAGTATTTGAAAGATTTGGGACCACTATGACATACTTAACACTATTTTCAACATTAAAAAGTTTTAGCTATAAAAAAAGTTATTGCTTTGAGAATTATAAGACACTTACTTGGCAAAGGAAGATTCTACTTGGCAAATGTAGGCTACTATAAAACTTTTTAAATATAGTGTTTGTCTTAATAATTCACAATCTGGTTCCCCAATATCATTCCCATCCTTTTCTTTGCCCTTTCTGACACACACCCTATTTTTATTTCTCCCCTTCTCGCTACATCCAATAGGGGTATTACCCTGTGCTATTTCCCCCAAGCTAAAATCATTATTTGTTCTCTTGTATCACCAATCAATCATACCTAGTCACACAGTCCAAAAGTCTTTATCATAAGCAACTCTGAAACTTGCCCTCTACTCCCCATTTCTATTCATGTTTTAGTCACTTAACAGCTGTTGAGTGTTCATTCTGTGCCAGGTACTTGTTAAGGAATACTTAAAGAGTTCCTGCCCTCATGTTACTTACATGGTAGCACAGGAGATACACAGTAAGAAAAAATAACAAGACAATTACAAATTGTTATAGTTTCTGTGCAGATAATGGAGTGATGAGGTGAAAGATAAAGGGGGTGAGGGAAAAAGGTACTACAGGGAGCGAGTGAATATAGTAGGCCTGACTGAGCCAGCCCTTCAGAGTTTGTGGGCCTAAAGGAGAGCAAATTCAAAGCCCCTGGCGCAAGGAAGCATTAACCAGATTTTAAGAACTGAAGGGAGTTCAACATGCATGGAAGGTAGTCAGTGAGAGGGACTAGGCTGAGCTAATGTGGGAGACACAGGCAGAAGATTAATTACAGAACCCTGCTATGTTTGGCAAAGAATTTTGGATTTTATTCTAAGAGAAATGGGAGTGTCATGATTTGATTTATATTTTTAAAACAGCACTTTGGAGAGAGTGATAGAGAAAGAGACCAATTAATAGGCTATTAAAGTATTGTCAAGGAGAGAAATAATGATAGTTTACTGTGTTACTGGTAATGGGGAAACAAGATAAATAGAGGTGTATTTTAGAAACCAAACAAACTCCATAACTGCAGAGGAGTTGAATTAAGAGAAAGAATAAAGGATGTATTTTAGATATTTTGGGTTTTCTTTAATTTTTGAGACAGGGTCTCACCATGCAGCCCAGGCTGATCCGGAATTCCTGGCAATACTCTTGGGTGAGCCTCACTACTGCTAAGATTAAGAGGTGTGCTCTACACCTGGCCCTTTTTCGTTTTGGACAAGGGCAATTTTTCTCAAAGTGGTAAGTAGACTTCTGGGGAAAGGATGCCTAAAAGGCTGAGTAGGATCCTTAAGACCCTTTTATATGTGGCCTTGAAAATCAAAATGAACTTTGCAACAATGCTAACATTATTTGCAAAACCACTGGTGCCTTGGTTTTAATCAGTGC